GTTCGAAGGTACCTCCAGAGTAGTCAATGAGGGCTCTGTGTTCCGCTGCGGGAAAGCTCCGCCGCAAGCACTCCAGTTGGACGGGCCACTGCACATGCGTGCAAAAACCTGCACTCTTTAAGCTCGCAGCCCGCCCTACACGATAGCCATTGTGGACCGCAAGGACCTCTGTAACTTTGTCATCCAGCGTCCAGCCTCTCTCCTGCAGTTCGCCCAGGGCCTTCCAAAACTTTTTGTCTATGGCCATGGCCTTCTCAAGTGTCGGGTTGCGATGGGCACCGCTGTTTGCGTGCCCTGCAAGCCCTCGCTTCTCACACAAGCGACGTGGATGCTTCTCTCTGGGCCATACCTCCATAGCGGAGTCCCCACCAGTTATTTTCAAGATATACCACGCAGTGGGATCTTCGCACCTGTTTCTTGTGAGGAGCCTTTCGAGCCTTCAAGGCGGACTTAAAAGAAAAAATAAAACTTAATGTTCTTATGATCTTACGCTCTTTGATGTTGTGCCTTCAAGCCCTTGAAGACCCCCTTCAGCTCTCCCTTGAAGCCCTTAAAGCCCCGCTTCAGCTTACTCCTCGAAGCCCCTTGAAGCCCTTCAAGCCCTTGAAGCCCCCCTTCAAAGCCTTTGAAGCCCCTCTTCAAGGGCTTCAAGGGCTTTATCTTCCCCTCAAGCCCTTGAAGCCCTTGAAGTTCCCCCTCTTGAAGGGTGCTTCGGATCTCTCCCGCCTCTGTGCGGGAAATTGGGCTCTTCCAGCCGAGATCGAGCGCAGAGGTCGGCAGCTCAGATCTTTTGATCTGTGAAGGAAACTGGACGGAAGCAGAAAAAGATTCAGACACCTTCTGTTAGTAATTTTCATCGCCAAGGGTGTGTTCCAAAAAACCCGCGTAATGGTTTCGTACAACACTTGCTAAGCGTGAAAAGCTCAGTCGATCAGCGTTTATACTGCGTTTGCCTTTCTAGGGGGAACGCCCATTGCTCTTGGGTTCCTATTGCGTTGAACTTGTAACACAGTTGAAATTTTTTGTAGCAACTACGACGTGGATTTTGAGCTTAGCCGCTGTGACTAAGTGATTGTTAAGTCATAAGCCCGAAGTAGCCTTGCCCGGAGCCAAGAAGAATTTGAGAAAGGCTGATGTTAAAGCAGTTGAAAAGAGGGGTGGTCGGGGTCGGGATATAGCAATGCAATATGTTGGATAGAAACAAACCTTGTCTGAGCAATGCTTGTGTTTGATCGAAGCCGTTTGCGTTCTCCAAGCGCCTAGATGCGTGTTGATGTGCAAGCAGCATCAAGATGAGGTATGTAATAAAACATGCACGATTGACTGTCAGCTGTGAGGTTTAAAGTTACATGACGACAGCTTTCAACAACACCAATTGCTTTCAATCCAACGCACATCTTACACCCACATTGCTGTGCAGTCCCTCGCCTTCTTTGAAATGTAGTTCTGATATTTGTTTTCATGGCATCTGAGGTGTTTTTCTGATTCAAGAATACATTGCGTTTTCACTGTGCAATATTTGTTTAATTTAGGTGAGGCTCCACGCAGTTTTGACATGCCGGGTTGTCGTTAAATCCCCGTCAATTGTGACATTGGTTTGTTGATAACGCGATGATAAACATGTAGCGTCAGCCACTATTTACCCGAGACTTCAAAACCAATCTGAGGCATAGAACATGGCGGAGCTTGAAAGAGAAAGCGACACAGGCATGATGGACTTTCATGGTGTTTCCGTGGGGTTTTGGAGGCGTGACCATGTTTGAGTCAAAACAAGCAAAGCAATGCAATTGATTGTGAGCTGATGAGGTCCCCCCGTGCAGATGACGGTTTTATGCTAAGCTATCATGTGCAGATGCCATGGACCCTGAGTGTTTTCGGAAGCTGCAACTTAAGGTTTTAAGGTTGAGGGTTTTAAACCCGACGCCCTGAACCAGACCCTTGAAATCCAATCCGCGAGGTGAGCGCGGCGCTGTCAAGCGGGTGCTTGGTCGACAGCAGGCGCACCGGCAAAGAAACGTGGAGCAACACAGCTACGTTTTGTTGGGAAAAACACCTGAAATGAGCGTTCTGAACCTGACTCGGAATGAAACATGATAAGCGCAAATTCTTAGGGATGATACGCTCAGCATGTTAATTACAGCCTTGGAGGGCCGAAGCAGTTTGCAAGCAACCAGTCCAGAATTGCGACAGAGGGAAGGACGACTGCAAATTTTGCCTAGATAGCCTGAAACTTCACATCCTAAACTTAACCTTGCACCTGAAACTTCAATCAACACTCTTATCACTCCTCTGATGATGACCCCTCTCTTGTACACCCTTGTACACCCTGCATTGAAGACAGGAGCCTGAGAAAGCCCGCTTGAACAGTGCAGAAAGGCGCCGGTCGCTCAGATGTTCAGGATTGTCCTTGGGAAAGATGTAGGGGTCATACGAGATGAATGTAAGGTTAAAGGTATCATTCGTAACTCAGGCTGTTTGTCTTGGTTTGTGGGCTGACGTGGAGGTATGGGAAGGTACGAGCATGGTGATGTCGGGAGTCATGGAGGTTATATGGGATCCAAATCGATATGGAAAAGTCGGTGATCATGGTTGTAGTAAGTTCAAACTTGCTCAGCTTTTAACCGCAACGCAGTTTGAATCATCTGCACCTTTAAGATGGAGTCCGCATACCCTAATCCCTTCATCCCGAAACCCAAGGCATATCTACCAGCCCCATACAGCTTCTTTTGGGAGAGTGGTCTTTGACGGGCCATTTGGAGTTTCATGTAGGGTATGCGAAAAGCCTCTTCGAAGAGCAATTTACTGGAGGTCTCATCACAGAACGGCCCAGCACACACCCATGACCGTGCTTCTGAGATAAGGGTTGCATAGACCGACGTAGTACACAGGACTAGATGTGGACATTGTTGCTTTTATCTTGAGCCCACTCTCCAGTTCTGGCTTGCATGTTTCGGCTGGCTTTCTGGTCTTTGTTGGGACGCCGTGCTGATGGTGTCGCAGTCCATATGAAGCTGTGAGGCAGATCTTTGAGGGCATCACAACCATATTTCTGTTTGCCCCTTGCGCAACCCAACAGCTCTGTGCAAGGTTGGCAATTGGTTTGAGTCTTGCAAGTTGACTTCCAAAGATGAGGTGGAACAGTTCTAGCCACCATACAGTCAGATCTTTTTTGCAGCTTGAATGTCCAAACATTCCCAGGCCGCAAGGAAGTGTAACAAACCCGAGGCCATGGTCTTACATGGACGGAGCTCCATGCCTACAAGGCCCTTGGAAGTTTGCACGCCGTGTGGCAATTTTAGGATAGATGCTGTTGACTCCATGGCTATGCGCAAAGCGAGACATCAGAGCGCCAAAGGATCGAATGCTGTTTCCAATCCTCCCCACCATGATGGGTGTGGAAGAGTTACCCAAGGACCTGCCGCGATTCATGTAGAAGATAGACCTTAGGGGTTGCATAGGGTTTCAGAGGGTTTGTGGAAGTTCATGAGGTACGGCCTTGTAACAGTTGTCAAATGTAGCCCCACTTCGACTTTTAATTACCAATGGGCTCCAGGCGTCAAATTTTTGCCAACAAGAGCTTGCTTTCCTATCCGCAGGCACAGTGCGCAGCATGGGGGTACCCTGAGCAGCGCTGTTGGAGTTGCAAGAAGTCTTGAGCTGCGTGTCGATTTTTTAGGAACTGATACCGCAAGAATTTCAACTTGGCGCTGAGGCCTGAACTCTAAACTTAAAGTCACTGGTGTTTGAGAATTCATTACGCAGATGATGCTCTTCTGGTTACAACATGTTACAACCAAGACACGCACCGCACACGACGTTCTTTGCGAAATAGAAGTGGTATTGCAACAGTTTGGCTTTAAGTTGAAAGGTTTTCGAACAATCTTCGGATCGCAATCTAGGTATGTCAACTGTGCGAAGACCAGCACAGTCTTGACGCGCAAAGCAAATGTAGAAATCAAGTTACATCGTACGGGAGTCAAGAGCGAGCTAGAACTCTTGGCTTTGGTGCTGGAACGCAGAGGCTAATTTGGAGGTCGTATAATCAGCTGTTTAGCAGACAATCCCTTAAGGCAAGTAAACCACCAGCTCACCTCCGCTGAAAGTTGTAATATGGGCAAGCGATGGGTGTGAGGACCAAGGCAATCACTTCTATTCCACACCAAGACGTTCAAATGGGAAAGAAATCTCGGCCAAAACTGTAACCTGTTAACCCGTACATATGCAATCGCCATCCGAATCACGAAATATTCCGACCAACACAAAACCGCCAGTTTTGATCTTCCAAGCTGCTCTCCATGCGCCAACAGCGTCATAAGCCAACCCTTCTGACTCCCTGAAGCATCAGTCAGTAATTCAAACGCGTGCGCGCAAAAATTGCTCAGGACATATGCCTCTGTGACAACGTCTTCCGTAGTTTGGACCGATGTATTGACAAGGCGGAGATTGGGGGTCTCGGAGGTTTCGCTACCGCGCACCCACATATCGGTTTCCTTTTGCAAGCAAGCACTTCACAGCTCAGCCAGGAGTCCAGTGGATGAATCTGCTGGGTTGAGTGCAATGTGTCTCTTCTTGCACAGGACAGACCTGCTGCCGCTGTTATAAGCGAGTGACGTACCTAAAGGACCTAAAGCTGAAAGCGCTCAAGCCAAACATTTAACATTTTCAATCCCCAAAACCTGCAACCCTGCATGAAGGTTCCAAGAATTGAGCTCCCCCAGAGCCGTAGACTTCCAATTGAATCCTAAAGTCGTAGACCACTCAAATTTTTGAGCCAGCATGCCCCAAGCTGAAAGCAGAAGCCGATAAGAGTGTCATGGCAGGAGCTGGCAACATACTTAACTGTTGCGGCACATCTACAGTCCCCAGGAAGAAATCAAGATTCCCGTTCATGGGCTTAGATGCGTTTTGATTTACTTTGTGACTGCCTTTCAGTAAACAAACGCACAAATCAGATTGTAGTTTCATGAAGCAGGGCGAGCATATCTGGCTTCTTGAGTAAGATTGCTGGAGCTAGTATAGACGATTTTATGTTCAAGTGTCGGCTCTCTTTAGATTTTCACCTTTGGCTACTTTACTCCTGTCTGTAACAAAGGTTCCACCCAAACCCTCGAACTCCATAAGCCTTGAACCTTAGATGTTTGCGCCAGGGTATTGAGACTGAGAAAGCCGACACTCCTTATGCGAGGATGCAGATCTGCAAGCCCCACTGGCTGCAGCCCTAGGTTTGGATCGGGAGGTTTCTTAATAGGAGTGCGGGAGTTTAGGTTTGGGGCGCAGGATTCGGGGTTGAGTTGTTTTTCGTTGCGGCTTCAAGTTTCGAATTTTGAGTTCCGGACTTGGAGTTTAGGGTTTAAGGTTGCTCCACCTGGATGTTCGGGACCAAAACAGAATGGCTATACGTGCAAGTGTAAGTGCATCTATTTGTTGGGGTGATGGGCACCATTATATATCGAACCAGGGCACCGCCATGGCCCCTTCACTCGCATTCTTCGCGGCCTATACTCCAAGCCCTACATCCAAACCCAACCCTGATTTCCTCACCCTGACTGGAATGTAAGCCCTAAACCTTAAGCCCTGAGTTCATGCGAATGCCAGTTTCGCCCATGGCCCCCGTGAAAGTTGCAAGGAGAAATGGTGGAAGATCTGTGATCCCGCGCAAACTAGGTTGCTTGGACCCTTTGCGTTCAGGATGGCTGGGCACACTCATCCAGGCTTTCGCTCCGCTTCACTCTAAACCCTGAACAGTCGAAATCACCCGGCCTGCGTGGCAGCGTTCACCTTCAGCATTTGGCGCTTTCTCAAGATAATTCCCGCAGAATCTTCATCGATGTCACTTCTAGTGTTCTTGTTGTAATTTTGGGGCTCCTAGGGCAGCTTAATTAGAAGTCGTCACCCTTGCAATGACCTCACCCTGGCAATAACCCCAGTAAATAACAAATCTGGCCGCTTTATCTTCAATGGTTATTGTGCGTGGGCGATGATTGCCGCGCCATGTGTGCAACAGTGGATGCGCCAAAACTTCATCTGCTGTAACAGTTGATGCTACATCTTGCATGACCCCATGATACTAAGCTTCCATGATTCCCAAAATTTAGGATGTTCAGGGCCATGTTGGATTTTTTGTTCAACCTCTGCACCAGCAAACCATCGCGCCCTCCCAAGCCTAAAAGCGAAAACAGAAGCATAAAAGAATCTGCTGACCCCGCCATTCCACCAGGATTCGCTTCATCAAGTGCGTGAAGCGCCGGGATGAGCTAGTGCTTCGCGGGGTCAAGCGCTGGGAGCGCAAGTGAGGGCCCAGGAAACCAAGAAAGGTTTTTGTTGGGCTTTAGGTGCCTTCGTCTGAGCCAAAGGTGCACAAGGTTTGGGCTTTGGAATCTGATGGCATTTGGGGTGAAGCTTGTTCGACCATCCGACTGCAAGTTGCTAGTTTGACATCCCGTTGTACTCACCCTTCCTCATGAGATGTCACAGAATTAATTGCAAGGCACAATCAACACGCCCATGTACCGTCATGTACCGAAGCATTGGACGAGCCCATGAATGCAGACCCGAAGCAAAGGAGAGATCCTAGTTTCCGCCAATCACTATCTGGCTGTTATTTCTCAGTTACTACGGCTCGCTGGATGAGCCGTCACAGAAGGAATATGTGGAGGACATCGACACCAAGATGAGGCTGGTCACAATCTTTTAGGCCTTTGTTACAGGGACCGAGAAATGTCATGATTGTTAAAGGTGCCCGTAACCTTAGCCAATTCGTCAAGCAAGTCTTCAATTTCAAGGGGAAGGCGCGAGGACAGCTCGGGAGCAGCGCCATTGTAAGTAAGCAAAGGAACAGTTAGTTTTCAGACAGATGATCCCAGTCACTCTTTGCCAATAGATCATCTCAGCTCTGCAGTTCGAGCCCCACAGTGGCCTGTCTTCAGATACTTCCTCTATGCCGCATCTCACACCAAAGATGCGCAAAAGAAGAAGCGGTCCGGTGCCTGGTGTGGGTTTGGACTTTGGAGGGAGATGGAGCCTAGCCGTCAGGATGGGGTATTGCACCGCTTTGAGGAATCGAAGACACCCAGACTCAGTGAAGTTTGGCATCATGGCATTAGACATGAAGGGCTCCAGGTGAAATGGTGCATCCAACCTTTGTGGAAATGTAATATGCAACCAAGCTCCAAAAGTAGGTGTGATACCGCTACTCTCCATACACCTGCTCCATACAAGGAGCGGCTAGCATACATGGTGTTTAAGCCTGCAAAGTAGGACCGTCGGTATGTGAACCCTTGAAAGGAAGCTGCTATTTTGGCAGCCGGCCATCCATAGCAATTTCCCACTTCATTTCTTCTCTGCTGTCCTGCTCTTCACATCAGGTGCCATGTGGTTTTTTCGTACACACATCTTGCATCCCCCAATTCTGCCGCAACAAGGATCATCTTCCGTAGTACCAACCCAAATTTCCCGGACCTCTAAACTCTGCCCTATACCCGAAGCCCTAAACCTCACCCAGCAGGCTGGAGATGAATGCGCAGCATTGCGCCATCCGCCAGTCCAATCTGCTGAAGTCGCAGGAGGACACAGAGGCGTTGGGGGCTATAAGCGGTACTTTTTAGTCTCTACGAAGGCGTGCGTAGGCAAATTAACATGGAAACTTGGATTCTGCATTATATAGAGTGTGTAAAGGCTTGGGGGTTCAGCTTCCTTTCTTCGATGTTTTTGCCAGTCCTGGTCCGCAATTATGAGAGTGCCGCATAGTTGCAGTCTATTCACTTACAGTTGGGCTGTGCATCCCAAGCAAGAACCCGTGGCATTCGGGTCTGAGGATTCACGGTGGAGAGTCAGATAAAATCATACAAATTGAATATCGGGCGGCTGTGAATTTTGAGTTGAAGCTGTTGCCCGAGGCAGATTTTCGGATATCTACTAGTAGGTTTTCATTGGTCCTACGTGCCGCAGGGCCCCACCGCAATTGCCGCGACCTCAGCAGAGTTCCCAGTGTGGACTTGTTGGATGGCTTGTGTGCAGTTTCGGCATGGGAGCCCATCAAGTTGACGGGATAAGCATTCAGGATACTTGGGTTTAAGCATCGAAATCCATTAGTTAAAAGCTCTTTAATCGAGCTTGCTTGCTTGACACATTTGTCGCAAGGCTTTCTGATATCTGAAGTCATAGACCTTGCCTGGACTCCTGAACATATTACATAGCCCTCTGCCCAAAACTCTGACCTCAAAACTCGCTCTGAACTTTGCGCCCTGGTTGGTAGGATTCGGGCGAAGAATCTCAAGAATCCCTGAATTCTATACACATTTAAATTGCTCTGAAGGTGGGCATCTTATCTTCAATTCAATGAAGCCACGCGTGCTATCCTTACCCACCTAGGATTACTTTTGCTTAGATAATGAGGCAACAGGATGAACTAAGAGGCTGATCCATTCCTCCACTCCCTACTGACTAGCAGAAATTAGGTTTGAGCGGCTTCGCCTGCGGGGCGATCTGAGTTGCTTGCTGGTGTGGGCATGTCGGCAGAGGTTTGTCATTGACTGTTTTCAAGCTTGGGTGCTAAAACATTTTCTGCATGTTCTTGCAGCCCCAAGGAAGTACCATTGTTTTGCACGCACCTCGCGCATGACTATTCTGTCCCGAAATTACGAGATACCAGCAAAGGAAGTGGAAAGGATGCTTCTTAATTTCTCATACTCTAAATCGTTTTCAGGATCCCTAACAATTATATGCCTCAATTAGAGGGTTTTGGCAGTTCTTTGGCTGAAGCCCTGAATAGTGCACCCCAGGCCTAAAAGCTTCAACCTTTGCGCCTGCCTACTTGCTCGACACGTCCAGATTTTCGCGTGAGTGGCTGCTTTGAACCGCTCCCTGCTCCCCGAAGAGCTTCAAAATCTCTGCCTGCTAAAGTTGATGGGCAAACTATTGTAGGCCCCAGGTATACAGCGGTCTGGTCTAGGGTCATGAGTCCTGAGTGATTTTGCAGACTGTACTTTTGACATCGGTATTCGATCCATGGCTTCAATTATAACACATACTTCTTCCACTTTTCATACCATCCTAGAGACAAGTCTATGTGGGGCTATATAGGGAATAATGATCAAGAAGCTGGCAACTACCATCTTAATTCATTCTTCTGATCAGTCGGGATCTCTCGAAGCTTTGCCTCGCATCCCGAAGCAAGTTTTTCAAACTCAGACATACTAATTCCAGCTTTTCCTCAAACTTCCAAGTCCCGCACTCACTACCACCACAGGTAATTGTACAGACAAGCATGAGTATGTGAGGAAAGCATTTGTTTCAGCTGCTACGGCTAAAGCAAGGCTCAGAGCAGTAGCAATCCCGGGATTCTGCATGATTGATTGTCTACCATGCTACTTTCACAGTTTTCCACACTTGCCTTGCAATTGCTGGATGTTTGCAATGGTACTTTCCCTGTATTCACTTTCATTCTAGCCTAGATTTTCCTCCAATCTTGTAGAT